GTGCCTTTCTGAGTGAAGTTTGCATGCTGTCCCCGTGTCTGCGTATGGTTTCCTCCGGGTGCTCCGATTTCACCTACCACTAAAAACATACACAATAGGTTTGAACATATTGAGTGATTAAGTGTATGAGTGAGTGAGTGAGTGAGTGAATGGATGTTTTTTGAATGGAACAATATCTGAACTCTGAACATTGTAAAGCACGTTGGGTGACCTTGGTCTGTAAAATTGCGCTATTTAAATAAAGATTGCTTACAAGATTACTACTACAGTCACAAGCAGAAGATTCTGGCAACAAGTGTGATTGTTATTATAATGACTTAGTATAGTATAGTAATTATGTATTGACCAAACATGAACTAATACAGGCTTCAGTAGTGAGATCACTCAGAGTGTCACAAACCCCTTTAAGTTACAAACCATTCTATAAAAAGATATGAAGTGAACAGTGAAGGAATGTCCAGGGTCTGTACTGTGAGAACTGCTGAGCCTGTGCAGGACATTCAAAAAAGGTAAATACTGCAATAATTCAGAATGTCACTATATCTACTTACTACCCTGCCCTACATGTACAAAAGAAGAAGGTCCTTTATTCGTCTCACAGTGGGGAAATTTCAGTTTGATGAATACACATACACATGAAGGCATGCAGCGGACATTATTTCCACACTTCTTAAAGGCAAGTGTCTTGCCCAAGGACAAAACTACAGCAGACAGCAGTAGAGAATGGGTTTGAACCCACAGCCTTCCAACTCAAAGGCCAATGCTCTTCCAACTGAGCCACGATTGCTTTCTCTACAAATACAGTAGATATTTTTAAAGATGCATATCAAAGCTTTTACAGCTAGCTAAGAAACATGGCAGCTACTTACTGTATTTTGTGTGCTCCCTGTGTGCTCTTACCACTGTCCTGTATGTGCGCTGCAACTAGGGATGTAAATCGGTGACCGTTTAACCGGTGGTTGACCGTCACAGCGTTAACCGGTCAAAGCTGTCGGTTAAAAAAGAGAAAAGGGGGAGAGGGGAGGTCTCTTCATAACGTTATTTTAAGCCCTATTTGCACGGTGTGACGAGCGGGTCCCTATCTAGCTGTGTGCGCCAATGTAACAGTAAACTCTGCCGTACGCGCCACATATGCACGCACACATGTACACGCACACACACACACATTTTCCCCCCCTCCATTGACACGTAACATCCACACGCATCATCTCTCCCCTCTGTTACCGCCTGCTAGTTGCACACTAGTGCGGGTCAGAACTATATTGGAGCTTATATTTACACGCACATACATACATGTATTGTACACACACACATAGCTTACATATACACACACACAGACATATACACACATACATACATGTATTGTACACACACACATACCGGTCTGTCGCGCTCCTCTGTGTCACGGAGCCCAAAGCATTCTTGCAAATACACGGCTCCAGTCAAACCACATGGAACATGTTTGTGCTGCTGGTCCTTGGCATCAGCTCCACACTGATCACTTTTAAACTTTAGCGGAGACCTGCGAGACGCGTCTCGTCACTCGCTGCCCTGACCATGTGGACGAGCTGTCTTTTGCTTAAAAATGCTTTAAGCCGCAGCACAGAAGAATGGGAAGATTAAAACAGCAGTTCTCTGTGCGCAAAGGTGCCGAAGCTGTTGCGGGTTTTGACGCCGCTGTCTCGGCTCTGATCCAGTAGAACGCTCAGCTGCACTTATGAAAAGTACGCGGCTCGAAATGGCTGTTATTTCAAAGAACGTGGACTATTTTAAACTACGCGGTTAACCGGTAGGCGACAGTAGCTCAGTTGGTAGAGCATTGGCCTTAAGCCCAGAAGGTTGTGGGTTCAATTCCCACCTCTGCACCTTCTCCACCGACTCCCACTGATGACTGCTGTCGTTGTGTCCTTGGGCAAGACACTTAACCCCACTTTGCCCAAAGCCCCCGCTGAAATATCAAGGCTATGCTCACAGTCAGAGAGCAGCCGTCCTCCTGTGGACTCACCACCTGCAGAGGGTCAGTGAGGGGCTGGTGCTATGAGACTTGGGTGGCATCTCTGACTGCCACCCCCCTGACCCAGAAATGGATTAAAGGGTAGAAAATGGATGGATGGATGGATGGATGGATGGATGGACGGTTAACCGGTTTCAACCGGTTAATGAGGCTCGGTGGTCGGTCATGAAAATTCATAGTTTTTTACATCCCTAGCTGCAACATTGAAATTTCCCCACAGTGGGACGAATAAAGGATCTCTTATTTGTTCTTATCTTACAGAAGCTTGACTCGAGGCGCGTGTGGCTTCCAGTTCAGCTCCAGCTCCTAGCACTCTGCCGTCTGCTGATTACCGAGCGGCTGAATCACTCATTTAAAACGAGCCAAAGGACTACAAACGCTAAGTGAATAGTAGAGTTAGCGTCTTACAAGCACAGCATCTAAAAAAGCAAAGTGGTGTTTTGAAAAGCAGCGTTAGGCTGAAGCAGAATTAATGAATGGCTAATGATGCGTTTCAATTAGGGTTAAAAGCAGCCGGGAACCAAAACGTGGCTGGAATTAAACCAATTCAAGACAGAAACACAGTATTATTCTGTTCAATCAACCCAATTAGATCCAGTGCAAAGAAAGAGGTATTTGTCAGTTTGTTCTTAAAGCAGAGATAGAGCGCTGCTCCAGAAGGATCATTTCATTTGAATAATTAGTACATTTCAAATCTCAAGTTCTTCAGCTTCATGTCCTTCTTTACAGTCGGCTTTGATCACTAACACTAATAACAATCAATAATAATAATAATAATAATACATCAAACCTATATAGCTCTTTTTTGGACACTCAAAGACGCTTTACAAAACACAACAAAATAAACATTGAAGAAAAAAAAATTATTATTATGTTCAAGACAGAGATTTCATTCTAGAATTTTGTTTTATTTTAATTAGTATAGTTATTGTTCACTTATCTTGTGCTGTGTACTCCTCATTCCTACTGTTCTATAACTTGTGATGCAACACTGAAATGTCCCCACTGTGGGACGAATAAAGGATATCTTAATGAAGGAAAGGGGTTAGTTGGGTTTGAGATGTGATGTTGACACAGTTACACAGATGTCAGTATCACAGTTGGAGAGGTAAAGTGATAGAGGTGATGATTATAAATAATATTTGATTATATTTGATTTAGAGAGATGTCATGCATTACTATGCTATTTTTTGCCTTTAATCATGCACTTGAGAATATTGACATTGGCATTTCATTTTCAGACCAAATATCAAAGCATCAAACAGTGACCCACTGGGCTCTTTCTTACCAGTCAAGTCTGTAAAATGTATCTCATAACATAAGGACAGCATGTTGTAGACTGCAACAAAATATGTACACAAATATTTACAAATATTGGATTATTTAAAGATCTCACCTCCTGTGGACCCACCACCTGCAGGAGGATCAGTGAGGGGCTGGTGCTACTGTATGTGTCCTGGGTGCAGTACTGACTGCCACCCCCCCAACCCAGAAATGGATTAAGGGGAAGAAGATGGATGGATGGATGGATGGATTATTTAAAAGTTAAGATACGTTAAGATGGACTTTATTGATCTCACACAGGAGAAATTTACATGTCACATCTGGCATGGATAGAATCACTCAGATTTGTGCAAAAGACAGAAGAGTGCAACATGTTAAAGACAAATTAAAGAAACAGTGGCAATAGTAGTGCAGGTTTTTATTGTACAGTCTGACAGCGGTGGGGATAAAGGCCCTGCGGTAGTTCAATACAATACAATACAATACAATTTATTCTTGTATAGCCCTAAATCACAACATGAGTCATCTCAGAGGACTTAACAAAACCATTGAAATCACCAACACGGATCAGAGAATCAACAGTTACAAAACAAAAAGAATATAGAACACATGCTGTGCTCCTTCTTAAACTGAGGGTGTCTCAGTCTTCCACTGAAGGAGCTCCTCAGCTCCTCTAGTCCTGTGCAGTGGGTGGGAGGTGTTGCCCATGATGGAGGTGACTTTGACTAGCACCCTCCTGTCCCTCACCTCCTCCACAGAGTCCAGGGGCCTTCTGTCCCTCACCTCCCCCACAGAGTGCAGGGGGCATCCCAGAGTGGAGCTGGCCCTCCTGACCAGCTTGTTCAGTCTGTTTCTGTCCCGCTCTGTGCTGCCCGGCACACAGCAGCGTAGTGTATGGCAGAGGCTACCACAGAGACATAAAAGGTCCTGAGCAGAGGCCTGCTCACTCCGAACGACCTCAGCCTCCTCAGAAAGAAGAGGCAACTTAGGCCCTTCTTGTACTGGGCGTTGGTGTTATGGACCAGTCCAGTTTATTGTTAATGTGAACAACCAGGTACTTGAAGCTATCCACCAGCTCAATGTCCTCCCCCTGGATGTTCAGCAGCGTGTGGGAAAGTGGTTTTCTCCTGAAGTCGATTACCATCTCCTTGGTGTTCAAGCACAAGGGGTTGCGCTCACACCAGTCGACAAAGTCTGTGATAACCGACTGATATTCCAGTTCGTTCCCCTCAGACACACAGCCCACGATGGCGGAGTCGTCGGAGAACTTCTGCAGGTGACAGAGTGTGTGTGTCGTATGTGAAGTCTGAGGTGTAGATGGTGAAGAGAAACGGTGAGAGGACTGCAGACTACCACTGGTTGATGGTCCATGCAGTGAGGTTACTGTCCACTCACACGTCCTCCTTCCATCCGTCCTCCGTCCATCTTCCCCCGCAGCAGTGCCGGTCTGATGGTATTGAAAGCACTGGAGAAGTCAAAAACATGACCCTCACAGCACCCCCTGCAGGCTCCAGGTGGGAGAGCGTATGGCTCAGTGGGGGGAGAGGCGGAGAGTAGGAGGGATTCTTAAAAAGAGAAGCCTGTGAGCAAAAAATTTTTAACACGATTAATTAATTTAATAAACATGCGTTAACACAATACTTTTGACAGCTCTGATAAATTTACAGCAAACTGATTGATTTACATCTCAAAATAAACCTTTTCATTGTGCAATGATGTGCCATGGCAGATCCTGAGTCACCCCCTGGTCCTGAGTCACCCCCTGATCCTGAGTCACGCCCTCGTCCTGAGTCTCCCCCTGGTCCTGAGTCACGCCCTGGTCCTGAGTCTCCCCCTGGTCCTGAGTCACCCCCTGGTCTTGAGTCACTCCCTGGTCCTGAGTCATGACACGGTCCTGAGTCACTCCCTGGTCCTAAGTCACGCCCTCGTCCTGAGTCTCCCCCTGGTCCTGAGTCACCCCCTGGTCCTGAGTCTCCCCCTGGTCCTGAGTCTCCCCCTGGTCCTGAGTCACCCCCCGGTCTTGAGTCACTCCCGGGTCCTGAGTCATGACCCGGTCCTGAGTCACGCCCCGGTCCTGAGTCACCCCCCGGTCCTGAGCCACTCCCTGAACAGGACCGGGGGAACAAAGTCTCTATAAAATCTGGGAGGCGCATGGGCAGATCGACGGCACCGGCCCGCACATGAGTCAAACTGTCTGCCTGCGTCACCCACACATCCAGGCAGCAGGGAATCAATGCAACGTTGCCATAGTGATGGAAGGGAGCAGCCTGATTGGTGGGATGAACTTGTTTTCAATATTTGAAAGGCCAATCACTGGCTAATCTTCTTTTTGAGCCATGAAACCTACTGCAGTTCCCTGTTACAGTATTCAACAGCCCTGGGCCATTCACACTAATGGAGGTTCTGGCAACAAGCATGTCCCCCCACCTCTTCACACTGTTTTGTTTTCAATTCAATTGAATTCATTTTATTCTTGTATAGCCCTAAATCACAACAGTAGTCATTGTTGCATAATTAAAATGTTGTATACTAATGATTTTGAAAATAGGCCCTCTGAAGAATGTGCACGGGGAAAAGCCCCAAGGACAAGGATTGCAAACAGGAATAAAGAGGGTCAAATGGAGAAACTACAATCAGTCATAGAGATACCAACTTTCAAAACGGGACAAATTATTAACTCCAGGAATAAACATTCTTGTCTCTCTGGCGAGGCCAAAAGTCCAAACCACCATCTGGCTAATCTCTCTCAGGCAGACTGGGAGATTCTCCAAAGGCATTCTGACGCCTCCCAGTGGACACGGGACGCCAGCACACCCGAAAAGAACATTCGGGAGACGCCCACAAGTGACGTCATCAGACGTCTTGATAAAACTGTTGGTTTGAGTTCTGGGGGGAAGGTTAGCGCAGGGGAAGAGGAGAGGGACATATTAGTTTAGGAGCACCTCTTTGTTGAATATTCTGTATCTGATTGTAAAGATAATTAAATGCAGATGTTAAACTTGGATATCTTCGTCTGATTTCTGTACCAAATTGTGGACACGCGAGCCAAAGGGAATTATTGGCTTCATTTGGTGACCCGAGACGTGATTTGATACAGAAAGAAGACGCAAGATGAGCTCAGATAGATAGACTGGGTCTGTTGGGTCTTGGGGCTCTCTCTACTGCAAAACACAGGTAAGCAGATACCATTTCTAAAGTCTGCACATTGTTTTAAATAGAAGACAGAGAGATCTCGGCCCAGCATGACTGCAGCGTGGCCAGACCGCCGTGACGGGCGATTTTATCGGACGCGATAGAACAATAGTCAGGTTTTTCGACGTTTTTGAACCTTGAGGGATGCTGGTCTCTCTCTAAAAAAGAATATACGGGAACAGAGCCACAGGATTTATAAGTGCGAAAGAGGCACACCGTTTTAAGGTGCAAAAGAGGCACAAGTGTTTAGATAAATAGGATTAGAGAAATAGGGATAGTTAGGGTCAGAAGTTATAGGATAATAAAAACTCCATATCCCCCGGGGGTGGGGAAAAGGGCACAATTAATTTAAACAGAAGAAAAGCCAAGTATTTAAAATGTGGATTCTGATAATAATGATCTGATTAATGAGAAAAGAGAGCCTCTTGGCTGTAGTATACGAGTTTCATGTGAAGAAATGATCAGTTATGGAAGTTTTTCTCTTATTCTGATGTAATGTTTAATAGTCACAGAGAATCAAAAAAAAAAAAAAGAGATTCTGCTGGGACTATTACTCATGTAAGCAAATAGTAATGTTTTCCATTACTGACGTATTTAAGGATAAAATGTAAAGTGTCGTTTGACGTGAGAAAAACTTTTACTACTGATTTAAAACCTTGTCACAAGAAAAACGAGGCATGCTTCCTTTGTTCGGGAGGCCCCTCCCCTCCCTCGTTCTGTCCTCTCTCTCTCCCCTTCCTCCTCTCTCTCTCTCTCTCTCTCTCTCTCTCTCTCTGTCTTTCTCTCTCTCTCGTGAAGAAAGAATTTTTTGTAGAAAATTACATTTATACACACGATAATGTTACTGACATGGAGTCATATGATCACAGAACTTTGAGTTAGATTATAAAGAGGCATTGTTTTATTCTTTTGACCATCTCCAAACGTCTAGACAAGTTATTAAACATGTTTCCCAACGTTTTGGTGATATAGAATTTAAACTGATCTTAAAGAACAGTATACTTTTGGAAAAAATAGGGCTTAGGATAGCAGTTGAATACAGATTTGGTTTTCAGAATTTAATGTTTAAAATGTTAATAGTAATTATTTCATAGGTTTACTTAGATTCGTAATTAATCATTGGTTTTGTATTGTATTAACACACTTGTTTGTGTTTCTTGTTTGTCTGTTTTTTCTGAGAAAACTTCTGTCTGTTTCATTGGCCGATCGCCAAAATCGTCCCTGCCACAAACCACAACCGAGCATCATCATCATCATCAGCGTCTCCCCCTCTCCCTGCGGGTTGCAGGGGGCAGCATCGGCTGCAGCAGCTAACAGGAACTCTCGAAGAAGACTCCTCCTGCCTGTGAGGAGGCAAAGAAAAGACCGCAGACTTGTTCACAAACTGAGTGTTGTCCCATCTACGGAACAGAAGGTGGCGGTAATGCGAAAAATAGGCCGCCAACCGCCGGAAAACCTAACAAGAAGAAAATGATTGAAAAGAAAAAGACATTGCAAGGAGAAGAAAGTTATTGAAAGAAGAAGAAAGAAAGTGATTATTGAAAGAAGAAGAGAGAAAGTGATTATTGAAAGAAGAAGAAAGAAAGTGATTGTTTAAAGAAGAAGGAAAAAAGGCATTGAGGCAAAGACATCGGACACTTTGAGACAAAAGACATTGAAAGACGCCATAAGAGGACGTGGCCAGGCTAAATGAGACAGACAGAAGGTAAATATATACAGACAAACAAACGCACAGAGACATATTAAGTCATATTTACACATTTAGCTAGGTCATTCGTTCATAACACCACATTTAGCTGCATGAAAGAATACAGGACAATCGTTAAAATTAATTAGACTCTTGCTTTAGCATGAGACACAAGGAGATTAGAACAGCAGTATATTTAAGGTAGAGGAGCACTATTATTGAAACTAGTATTATTATTTAAAGTTATAGACGCGGAGAAGTTTAGAATTATTGATTTTAACTGCATGATCTTGGTAATACGGATATTTAAAGCAGTGTTTTCAACCTCTGAACCGTGGCTCGTTAATCATTTAAAAACAGTCACATGCACAGTTGAAACTGGTGCTAGGAAGAGAACTGCAGCTTTTAATGGACGCTGCATTTAGTACAAAATGGTTTGTTCAGACAATTAAAGTTTGAAAAATGATTTAAAGCATTTCTGAATTTTGGCTAAAGGTGATATTGGATCATTTCTGATAACACATAGACGCAACACTGTTCATTGGTTGAAAACAAAGATGTAGGGACATTTTTTGAAATCTTTTATGACATGTTTCTCTTCCAAATAGCTAAATTAGAACCAATTAGGACAATTATGTCTTTGATAACTGTTGGCAGTTTATCTGAGACATGATTGGTGCAAGTACACACACATAAAACAATGGTCTTTTCTCCACATGAACGTGAAACAAACGTGAAGTATTAAAGTTTGAAACTAATTTACATTTTTAAGGAATCCGAACTGGCTTTAAAAAAAAAAAGGGAAAAACATTTATTGCACGTGCATGAGTTTTTTAGTAACAAGAGCTCATTAAAAATATAGGGGACACAGTTTGTGACAAGCCCGAGTAAAGACCACGTGGTTTAAACACTAAAGTTTGAAATGGATCCTTTTAGGAAAAATCTCTCAAAGCTTTGCATGTTCTGCAGGCTCTGAAAGTTGCAACTATAAAATAGCTCATGAGACAATTGTAATTGGACATGGAAAAATATAACAAAGTTAAAATTACAGGCCTCTTGTGTATGTTATATGTTTGTGTATGTTATATGTTTGTGTATGTTATATGTTTGTGTATGTTATATGTTTGTGTATGTTATATGTTTGTGCGTCATGTCCAATACACTACGTTGACCTTAACAAACTGGACCAATACTAACGTGGGGTGTTGTGAGTGTGTTGTGAGTGTGTTGTGGAGTGAACGAGGAGTGCTGAACGGAATCATGGAATAACAAAAGTTTTCTGTAATGTTTTAATGTGATCATGGAATAATTATTTTTTGTCAACAGCATACGGTGTAAGTACTAGAGATTCAAAGATGACAAGCTTTATTGAACAGGTGTAAAAGTGAGAGTACTCTGGGATGAGTACTCTGAGAAAAGTACTCTGCGGAAAGTACTCTGAGATGAAATACCTCGCTGAAGGTACTGGGAGCCCCTCCCTCTGCTGTTTGTCCGGACAGTGATTCGGTCCAACCGCAGTGAGCGGTCATTGGGAGGAGGACAACTTTGGTTTGTAACTCACATTTAGGGGAGTGTAAAATTAGAAACATACATATTGTTAAGTCTGTATTTGGCTACAGCCTCTGCCCTGATGCCACACACCGTCTGTCAATGCAGTTATGTTTTGCCCAATTGGATTGATTGACAGGCCGCACCATGCGAAGAGAGGAAAGTGGGCGTTTCTTGTGTTCTAATGTTTGTTTTTCAGATGAAAGATAAACTGCACCTGCTTCAGGGATGACAGTAGTATGAATTAAGGAAATGAGCCTCTACTTTGGCACCAAAGCCCACAATATGAATTGAGGACGATCCGGGAGGAGCAACAGGATTGGAACAGTAATCTACACACACATACAGATGCATGTTTTATACTTTGGACCACGACCAACAGAGGGGAGTATTGTATTGTCATAGGTGGTCATGGTCCTTAACCTTCTAAATCATTAGAAAGAAGTGTAAAACATATATTTACAAGAACAAATAAATAATAGAAAGGGCAGCCTAAAAAAGCAAAATGGGAAAATTATTAAGTAATTTTCGGAGTTGCCAAAATGAAATAAAATTCTATATTTGTCCCATAGGGGGTCATTCTAAATTTAGTGTTGTGCAAATTCAAAAGGAGAAATAAT